GGTACCAACTGAATGAGAAAATACTGTAGAATTTTTTAAGTTCACAAGGGCGAATAGGCCTTTTTAATAAATTTTACTTTTTCAAGCTAATAAAACTTTACTTAGAAGGACGATATTCGAGGACGATAGTCGAGCTAATATTAGTTCTTAACAAATAATTTTTTCAAAAATAAAAATTGTAAAAGTTCAAGGATATTCAAGGATAAAATTTTAAAAGGACATTTTCATTGCCTAGCCGTCCCTTATGTACTAAAAGATTTTATCAGTTTTAACTCTACAGAATTTTCCCTTTAATTTGATACCCATACTGGTTTTGTAAGTACATACATATGTATGTACATTGCAGTAAATTTCTTAAATAATTTTTTTTAATTGCTCATAACTTTCGAAATTCAAAGTCCATTTAAAAGATTCTGACGTCAGAGAGAAAAACTGAAAAGGCAATTTCATTATATTTGGCCCTTGGTTCACGAATATGTTGATATTTTTGTGTATAAATTGCCTGCCTCACAATGTTATATGTATTAAATACTAGCAGACCCGGCGAACTTCGTCCCGCCCAAAATTTTTATATATTTTATTGAAACTTTTTGGTCCAAGATTTTCACCAACAATTCACGTTTACAATTTTCATAGGCACATTCGTCTGCTAAGATTATGGTTTGGTGGTCATTTGCCGCTTTAAATAACCTAAGGAAAGTGTTATATCCTTCTTGGGCCTAAAACTTTTAACGCCAGGGAGTCTTTTATTCTTTCATATAAGTTTACTATCCAACATTATCTTTCTAGTAAAGCGCACAGCACTAGTTTTGGTTGAGTTATCGGTCAGCCGATTGCCATTAAACCAAGTGTCAACCATATTCAATGTCCTTTGCGTTTTACTGTAAACAACCAAAAGAGTAGAGCTTGTAATCGGGCAGGCCATATCCTCTGCATAGGGCTGTGCGTAGATATTATAGCCGTTAAGGTTGACAAATATGTAATCAACTACCAAGCAGCTGAAGGCCAGAAAGTACACCGATCATTATTGACTCCGCACATGGCATATTGCCCTCCCTCTGCCTGAATCCTAATGACCTGCTGCACTAACATTAAACGAGTCTACCAGCACAGCATCTATTCCATAACATAAATTCCTTATTCTGAAAATCAGATTTTGCAGAGCCGCCATTATAAAAACGCCTCCCTACAACTGCGCTTCAGCAAATTCTTGTCCGAAGAACATCTATGAATAGAAAATCTCTTTTTCCAATATCGCACGTCCCTCGTCAGGCAACGACAAACCTCCGAGTGCATTTCTGTCATGAAAAAGCTTCTAATAATATCCGTTTGCCGTACAACAACAACAAGGCGCACATTACACATCGGAGGGAAAACTCTAAATATTTACTTATTTTTTAGCCGTTCGACTAAAGTTATCAACACCAATGCAGTTTTTTTGGGCGAAGCACTTTACAATGAACGTAAATAGTTATTAACTTTTTATACTCCCTTTGTTTACAGCGGTGGCGTTCACAATACATCTTAGCATTTGTTTTGAGTGTGCCCGGTTTTAAAGTTTCCACTAATCCATCCACAACCTCTGAAGCTTCTTATTCCACTAAGAAACAAAGTGCAGCTAAGTGTGTGGGGGAGGCGGCCAAACCTTATTCAAACTGGCACGAAGATACCGCCTCACAAACCTAGTATTCAGTTTTA